CTGGAGATAATGAAGCTGATGCCGTAAGGAAAGCAGGGCCTGATGCTGGAGATAATGAAGCTGATGCTGTCAGGAAGGCAGGGCCTGACACTGGAGATAATGAAGCTGTGGAAGGCAGGGTATAGTATGGTACAGTGTAAAGGCACACTATAGAGAGTAAGCTTGTCTTTTGAGTGATACCTTTGCACCTCTCTGGGCAGTAGCGTGTCACCATGAGCCTAACATACATTTGCACTACTGAGCTGTGCTCTCGGTTTTGTCACTTCCTTTGCCCCAGGGAGGGCTGTCCGGTGCTGGTGCACGGCTCAGAGGGCACCGACACCACTCTGCTTCTTACCACCCTGGCCCAGCTCATCCTCGACCCTCGGTGCCGCACCCTACCTGGCTTCCTGGCCCTGCTGGAGAGGGAGTGGGTGCTGGTGAGTCCCCCAGACCTTACCTATGCTCTGTCTGCTGTGGTCTGTTTATGGGCAGTTTCCCTCCTCAGGCTGGACACCCTTTCCAGCAGCGCTATGCCCATTCGGCTTACTCGCACACCCGGCCCAGGCAGGAGGCCCCCGTCTTCCTGCTGCTACTCGACTGCGTGTGGCAGCTTCAGCGCCAGTTCCCGCTGGCCATGGCCTTCAGTGAGCCGCTGCTGCTTCATCTGGCCCAGGAAGTCTACGCTTCCAACTTCGGCACCTTCCTCTGCAACAGCGACGCTGAGAGGTGGGGGAGACGGCCACCACCAGACACACTGGCCACACATTGCAGTGGCTTGGATTTCTGAGATTACCTGTAGCAAAGGTCCCACAGCAGTGTCCTGTCCTACATTTGAACGTATCACTTATACACCTAAAAACATCATCTCCTAAATGGTGTGCAGCTCCCTTGTTCTAACACTGGGTGGCAGCAGAGAACCAGATCCTACAGCCCCCACAAATTTGCTCCTCTCCTCTCATGCAGGTGCTGTCAGGCAGTAAAGGAGAAGACGCACTGCCTGTTCCAGTTCCTGCTGAGGCCTGAGGAGAGGGAGCACTTTGCTAACCCCCTGTACCAGCCCACGGAGCTGGCCATCTGGCCGTCTGTGTACCCAGCGTGTATACAGCTGTGGCATGGTAGGCGGCAGTGGCAGATTAACAAGCTCACGGGCCCCTTTTTCTGCCCCACTACGCAAAACCATAGAATTAACTATAAGGCTATTAAATATTAGTAACTATAGAATTATTTCTACAAAGTCAAAGAGAATGTGATGGTGCATCAAAGGAGAGCTATCACATCAGAAGACAAACCAGCAAGCTTAAACTTTCACCTTAGTCATATGCAGCAACCAGAAAGAGCATAACAGAGATGTCACTGAATAAACACATCTCAGTAGTGGCAACTTTAAAACATTACACTCTCATCCAGTGCGTGTCAACTGCATCCACAATGTGTGCTAAACAGGCATTTACCATAGTGGAGAGGCAAATTGCACAGCAAAGTTTGTCTTTGGCTAATTCAATTCAATTTTATTTATATAGCGCATTATCACAACATTACATTGTCTCAATGCGCTT